GGCAATAAGGAATATACAAATAATAATCGCTTTTCACAAGTAGACTACAGATAGTCCGTAGGCTGTATAAGCTATTGATTAGATATAGGATACAATACACATAGCTTTTGCAATGTGCATTTTGATATATTATAAAAACATTAGACATTGATCAAAAAAGACGCCAAACTAGTATAAGATCGATTGTACTCTGTTAATAAGCTCTAAAGAGATTAGTATAATAACTAGATCCCGACTTATCCTTATAGCCAGATTTGCAATTTCATGTTTCCTCGATATATAAAATAGCTCAAACTTTTCCAAAGCGAAAAAGATCTTATTCTAATCTCCCTATTATAGGATATATCGAATAGTTCAGTAGAGTATATATATATTCGTGGATAGGTCCTTAGATATATGATATATAGCTATATCGTCAGTATATTCGAAACACTATATTCTATCTTGATTAAAAAGCTTAATAAAATAAAGGATATACAGAATAAGGAAGAGTGGCGATCCCTGGAGAGTATTATATACGATTGGGAAATCCTATGTTGTGATTCTCTCAAGCCTTATATACACACGTTTCCCAGTCAGGAATAAATCAACGAATCATAAAAGCGCTATAGGCCAATTCTATTTCTTTATATATTATAGAAGCCGTTTTTTAAGGAATATATTATAAACACTTTGTATATCCATTATTATTAGTGTGATCACTTTGCCAGTTACTAAAATAAATTCAGTATTATGAGTAAAGGCAGTTGTGAGATTAATACTGATTCTTTTTGGTAGTGTTCCATAATGCTAAGGGCTAATAACATTATATCTTATAGCCATCCATACAATTTGACTGACGATATATCTTTCTAATCCTTTTCCAATATACAATATCAATACAATCAGTCTTTACGATTTCAGAAACATTCTATTCTTTTTATTAATTTTGAGTAGTATAATTATTTTAACGAGTTTTTATTTGTTAAGATAATAGCTAAGCTTGAGGCAGATTGCGAAAATCTTATATATTACACTTTTCGTATTAGGCTAGTATATTTTAAGGAGACAAATAGTTGCCCAATCGATTTTGGGTGATATGCTCCTAACTCCTATTATATGTTTTTCCATTTCTTTTGTAGTGATTATTCTTTTTCATAATAAAATCATCTGACAGCCCTGTTTTTATAGAAGGTCGTATTGTAGATTATTCAATACTTTGAAGTAGTCGAATACTATTATAAAAAGTGCTTCGGCTTTTTTTCTAATATCAATAATCTCCTGATCTTCGATTACTAAAGAAGAGATCTTGAAGCTTATTTCTAGGGTTAGCTTATACCAATTCATGACTTTATATAATTCCTGATTATTCTATATATTGTTTAAGTATTTAATCTAATAGGTTTGTTTCGATACTTGTATAATTCTTTGTAGATTCTATTAGACCGTTGCCATTTTATCAATAATTTCAGTTCTCCTGGTTTATATATATATTTAATATATCTTCTTACACTTATCAATCTATTATGGGAATAATCGGTAGGGTTTGTAGTCTTTCTGCCTTATAGTTACTATAGAGACGCTTAGTATACTTGTGAGTCTAATAATCAGTCTATCAATATTATAGATAGATTGAAGGTTTGGATTCTAGAGATTCGCTAAGCAATTGGCTATTATACCTACTAAACAGGGTAGATCTGAATTATATATCCGGATATACACTTGCTCGTATTTAGAGATTCCTCTATTTGAGATGATAGTGATTTGAGTAGCGTGATTGAAATCGTTATACAGATTGTTATTAATTATCGTCATAACAATAATTAGATTAGAAAAGGTCAGATTTAGAATATATCCCCTTATATATATAAGGGCACCAGGAGTTTCGATATACTCCATTTCTTGTTCGATAGTCTATTATACAAGCATATCACCTTGGTTGATAGTTGCTACTCCGGATTCCTATAGATTATACTTAGTATTAAAGTTATTTCTGATAACTGTATTAGTCCTTAAAGCAATCTCTAATTCGAGTATATATTTTATTATCAACAAATCAAGTAAGGCGTAATAGATATTGAAAATCAAGTATCTATTAATATTAATCTAAAATAGATTCCTATTTTCAGTCTGTTTTATTTGTTTAATCTTCAAATTGCCTTCTTTTCGTATATAGATAATTACTCATAGCTTACACTTAAAGCTGTTAGCTACTTTTTAGATATCGATTAACTGATATTAGTTATATACAACATGATTTTGGATTATCAAGTTATCATATAGTCGGGGTTCTTGGATACAGATAATATCCATATCAGCCTCTCCAACAACCTATAGAAGAGTAATATGATTGGAGTGTCCGCATCCTATATTCACTTATACAATCGTAAGCCCCCTTCCTCCTATTGAGTTTGCACTGATTATACAATTTATATAGAAATGATGATAGCTTTGTTGGCATTTGACTTACTCCTCTTACTCATTTCAAAATCGGAAGATGAAAAGGCTTTTTCAGCTATAGCTGTTATATTATAGTTTACCCCTTTGTTAGTATAGTACAAAGAATTACAATTCGGAATATGAATTAGACTATTGGAAAGGCTCTCCCCTGATCGGGTCTGTTTGGGTAATCGGTTTATCAGTTGCTATTCGTTCTTGTAAACAATAATGCAGGTTTTTGATATAGGGAGTCTAAAAATGATTATTTAAGACTGTTTGATTAACATTAAAGCAGATACCTTTCCCTTACATATTTTCTAAATTTCCCTTTAACCAGCAGTCCTGACTTCTTTCATTTATCGATAGATAAGCCTAATCAATTTTCCATTAACTGATTATAATACCATAAAGCAATTGCTATATACAAATCGAAAGGGTTCTAGGCATCCCGTATATTAAGCATTGTTTTGACATTGCTCATAAATCTTTCTGTTGGTGTATTTAGTAATTAGTTTGCTATATCTAGAACAACAAGCTAGACGATAATACATATATAGGTTACAATATAGCTGGCACCCGTTGAAGTACTGTTGTGATTGAGGATGTTGCAATCTATCAAGGGGCTTCGAGTATTTATTGATATTAAATAGCCGGAATGATTTTATTATCTTCTTAAAACTAATAATCCAGTTAGCTCTTTTTATAAAAGGGTTCACTCTGTATTTAGAGATTCTATATTACATTGATTCTTCTTCTACCTACACTTTAATCTTTTTTTAGATAATTGTATCTGGGAGTATTATAAGTATACCCAATGTATTATAAGGAACTTGAGGTACAATATAGTTATATCAAGTCTCCACAATTTGAGTATCATTTATATCAAATACAATAATTAACTATATACGATTTTCGTTTTACAAAAGATTCTTGTATTCCTCTAGTATTTTGTATTCCAGGGTTTACTCTATTTTATTGCAATAAAGCAAAGGGATCAGTTCAAGCCTTAATTCAGAAACTGCTTCTATAATCTTTAATTACAATTCGAAGAGATTATTAGCGATTATCTATTACTCACTTCCTATTTTTATAAGAATCGTGTAACTATTTCGCTTTCATCGTTTATACTTCTATATCATCTTCATCGTTTTAAATATACTCGCTTTAATACTTTTCGATATCTAAAACGCCTCCCCAGTCTTAAGTACATCAATATAGGATTTAGCAATTCCCTTTAGGATTGTTTTTGTGATTAATATAGGGATTCTCTATATAGGCCCAGCTTGTCTTATAGTTTTGATTATACCATCGATACACACAGACTTTAATATATTGATATAGCTCAATTCTGTTTTGCTCAGGATTTTAATGTATATATCAATTATACTCGTAATCTTTAGGATTATTTATTGCTTTTCATTTTCCTTATAGAATTGATTAGTTATTGTTTTATAAATAAATTATATATCATTATCTCCATTTGTTTCAGTTATCGATATAATTATCATTATCATTATTGGAACGATTGAATCGCGATCTGATGTATTCGGCGGCGCGATAGATTGCTTATGACCATATATTGACAATATTATAGTATTATAAGATTCCTTCAATATGATTTATTATAATATAGCTAGTATCCGACTTTTGTTTTTGATAATTATGGAATGATTCGCTGTGTGCTGTTTCTAATCTTTATAGAATTGAATAAAATTATTAGCTATGATCACTTTGATTAGGAGATAGGTATATAGAGTAATAATAAACTAGATTGACTTGAGGTATAATCATAAGGATTATATCTGGTTTATATACCCTGATCAGACGATAGAGTCACCTAATTAGATATATAGAGTATACAAATGAACTAAGTAAAATAGTTTTAGTAATCATAGGAATGAATACTCCGGAGGAATACTAGGATTAATATCATAGGGTTACACTATACAGTGAATTCCGTAACAATATATAATTATTTCATTATAATATTACAATAATTATAGAAAAATTATTATTGTAATTATAAGAACTCTAAAAATTTATATTATTTATTCTTATTATAATATAATTCTCGATCAATTTCTTAATTCTAAATCTTTTATATTAGTTTATTAAAACTATAAAAAGAAATTAAAAATAAAGTTAAAGAAAAAGTTGTTTAATAATAGTTTTCTATATTAATAAGTTCTCGGATATAACAGAAGTCTAGGATTTGTATAAAAAAAATATTTAAAAAAATCTATAAGATAAAATCAATTAAATATTTAGTAATAAAGGTAAGAATGAGTAATACTATACTAATAATTATATATCGAATAAGATTAGCGATACTGAATTCAGTAGTATATAAATAATTAGTAAGTAGTTACGATTAACGAATCTATATTTCTGCTTTCTCCTATAACATTATTAAATCTAGATACGAGAATTGTTTTCCTAAACGAATTACTTTTGGAAATCAATAACAAGTTAAATAGAAAAAGAAAGAAAATAATACTTCTAAGCTTTTGAGAAGAGTTTAGATTCTATTATTTATATATATCGAATTTGTATACTATCTTTCTACTATTAGATTATATTAACTATAATATTATTGTTATTATAACAATTCTAAAGATTTACAATAATTTTCCTAAATTCGGAAAATTGTTATCAAGCAATTGAGATTCTATGAGATAGAGTTGATAAAAGTCTTGAAAGAAACCTAGTGAGAATTTCTTATATCGGTGTACAGAGGATGCTAGGTACTATAAAAGATTGAAGTCTCTCGAACACCCGAGAGATAAACTTAGCCTTAACCTGTCAACCACAAGGAAGCATGAATACTACCACCTACGCAAAAATCCCTGATCCGGAAAAGTTCATCGGCAATCGTGAGAAGCTTCGCCCCTTTCTGGCTCAGTTACGTCTCGAGGCTGCAACTTTCATAGGAAACCAAGAACGCCTACGCTATGCTGTTTCTGTCCTCGACAAGGAAGCCCTGGACCACCTAATGCCATATATACAAGACGACCAAGTAAAACTAAACGACCTAACCTATATGGTTAACAAGGCACAACGTTGTGCTTCTTTTACTCACTCAAATTTGTATGAGAAAATTAAGCGGTGGTCCAAGTGTTTCAAAACCAAGGGGTTATGCTCTTTTAAAAGAGGGATGTTGTGCTTCTTTAGGACCTGCTGAATGTAGTCTCGGAGTTGGAAAGTAGATACCATAAAATCCTTTCGTGATTAGGTTTTGGTGAGGAGATGCAAGGAATCAGCACACAAGGGAATAGACCGTTCAGCTTTACAGATGTGAGGAGAAGACTCAAGAAGCAACAAATTGCGGTGACTATCATGTTGCATCTACCCCTCCAATCGACGATCGATAGGTATTGTCCTTGGCGAAAGTGGGACAAGGGGAAGTCATAACAGGGAGACATTAGACGCCACTGGAAGTTCATCCTCGCTGCTTCGTCATTCATGCAATGACTTGTATCTAGATGCATATCGCTATATCGAGTATGCAATCTCTGGGTCAATAATCTTGTGTGGAAGACACCTGATGATTGCGACCTCTAATATTCATCCGAGCTTCTGCGTTCTTTTGCCTTCAAGTTGTATTTGTTTACTATATGGAACTTCGTGCTCAATTCAAAAAACACAACTTGCCTTGTTAGAATTTGGTTCCAGTTTTCCATGGGATCGGCTAAACTTTGAGTATAAGCAGCTTGTAGCAGCTGACCCTCGCTTGCAAGCAGGAGATGGAATAATTGATTTTAGCGATAGTAATCAAGATGAATTGCTACCCAATTCCCAATTCCCCAGTAGTCGTTGTTGTTGGTCGACTTTAGCTTATCTACCCCACGGGATTGCTAAGTGAACAAGCATACCCCTCTCCTCATTTTCATGTCCTAGTATTCTTCAAAACCCATTCAGATCCTCTCTTCGTATATGTACAGTAAATTTCCGCCATACATTTCGATTTTATTTTGTTAAATTCGATTCTATCTCCACAAGACACTGCTTCGCCAAGATCTAAGAAGACCTGCTCACAAGCCTTCTCCAAGTGTGAGTCGAACTCTAATATCCAGCATATGAAAGCAGCTAATTGCTTTTCGAGGTAGCTCTCTTCGAGGGCGTTCAAGACTTCGCTACAAGGTTCAGCGAACTGAACTTGGGGACTTTGACGATCTGCGTAGGATTTATCTAGGGGATATAGTTAGTAGTGCTTAAGAAATGTTGAGAGAGAGAAAAAGAGGTATAAAATGAATCGCTTACTAGATTTATGGTTAGGACCAGTAACAGTCTTATGAACACCTGATGGCATTTTATCGGAAGATATCTTGGTGTATTTGCTCGGCCGCTCTGTTTCCACTTCTTCCTCGCTTTCGGTTCCTATAAACCGTTGATCGAGTTCATCATTTTCGCTACAGACTCCATTAGAATCATTCAGGCGATCACTATCTTTATTGTTAGGATGTCAGTACTATCGTTCACTATTGGGTCAATTCTGAATTACCTTTACGTTTCATTCCAGTACTTTGATATCCCTTAGTATATAGAGGTAGGGATTCCGAGTTATGCTTTTTGCTATGAAGAGTATTTTGATGTATCGCCGGGTTCTTCTGTTTCACAAACGGATTGAAATTCTTCCATTCGTCGCATACCATACCCTTTTTATATACACTCTTCTGAGTTGTAAAATCATCTGTAAAGGTTCCTCGACATCTTTTATCAATCGTTTTCCAAAAAGATGAAAGTGCTACTCCTTCAGACGATATGAATACCCGGAATCTTTTGGCCTGTGAAAGGGACTGTGTCTCCTTCAATAGATCCAAGGCATTATCCGATATAGGAGTGAAGGGACAATTTTGATATGGGGGCATGAATACTGTGCCATGATCGTGAAGCTTAAACAATGTACAGCAAAGAGAGCTCTCATCGGTCATTATACCAGCATTTCGTATACTAGCGTAAGTATCGAAACAATACTTAGACTGTGAATAATCTAAGGATAGACAGTTATTATCTGTATCCCGATCAATCAAACTGCCTTTGACAACGAAGTAGAGAGACTTTGTACGTGTATGAGAGGATTTTGGGTTCGCGCTAACTGAAACTGATATGCTAAACCAAAAGAGCAATTCGGGGTTTTCGTCTGTACCAAGTTGTATATTCATTCGGAGTTGGTGATGGTCTGCACCGATAAAGTGAGCTGAACGATTATTTGTCCACCTGATAACGACTGGTAAATCTGTAATGCAGTTCTCCGGAAGAAAATCCGACGACGAAGGTTTGGATATCCAATTCTGGGAAGAAAGAGGGTTAGCTTTTATAGAGAGAGGGAAATAAGGGGAGAGGATAGAGAAAAAAGAGAACAGAGGAAATATACCGCTGTTTTTAATGGAACCGACGAGTCTTTCGAAGGGCACATTGGATCATCCATAGCGGCCTATTGTTATACGGTATTCAAGATAGAACGTCTGGGAAAACAATTGTTAGCGCTATTCTGATAGATAATAAGATAATACTGATAGAAGCAGAATGAAAAGTCTTGGAATACTGTCCTCGATAATCAAGAAACCAAACTCGATGTAAAGAGAAAATACTAGGTCTCCTTATTACAGATGACATTTGGCCCGCCTACAAGAGGTGATACCTAGTCCGTCTAGTAGAGGAGACCTAGCATCCGCCCACAGGTGACATTTGATCCGCCTACAAGAGGTGATACCTAGTCCGCCTAGTAGAGGAGATCTAGAATCTGTCTATAGGTGACATTTGACCCGCCTACAAGAGGTGATACTTAGTCCGCCTATAGGTGACATTTGACCCGCCTACAAGAGGTGATACCTAGTCCGCCTAGTAGAAGAGACCTAGAATCCGCCTACAGGTGACATTTGATCCGCCTACAAGAGGTGATACTTAGTCCGCCTATAGGTGACATTTGACCCGCCTACAAGAGGTGATACCTAGTCCGCCTAGTAGAAGAGACCTAGAATCCGCCTACAGGTGACATTTGATCCGCCTACAAGAGGTGATACCTAGTCCGCCTAGTAGAGGAGATCTAGAATCTGTCTATAGGTGACATTTGACCCGCCTACAAGAGGTGATACCTAGTCCGCCTAGTAGAGAAGACTCAAGATCTATCTACCTACAGGTGCTGAAGAACGTAACTACCGCCAGAATTGTTGTACTTGTATAGTCGTAATAGATGTTGTGCGATAAAGATAGTGATAGAGATAGTGATAGAAAGACTATGCTCGTATGGTCGTAATAGATATTGTGCGATAGAGATGGATAATATCGAGATAGCAATAGAAATGGATAATATCGAGACAGCGATAGAGATGGATAATATCGAGATAGCGATAGAGATGGATAATATCGAGACAGCGATAGAGATGGATAATATCGAGACAGCGATAGAGATAGAAGGATATCGAGATAGCGATAGAGATGGATAATATCGAGACAGCGATAGAGATGGATAATATCGAGACAGCGATAGAGATAGAAGGATATCGAGATAGCGATAGAGATGGATAATATCGAGACAGCGATAGAGATGGATAATATCGAGACAGCGATAGAAATGGAGATAGAGCAATGCGATAGGAAGACTGTATTTGACGTGGTATAAAGAGAAAGTTTGCAGTCTCTACGTAAGCGAAAAAACAGGCGGAAATTGAGTACCTTTCAAAGGACTTTTTTAATAGATTATAAATTCATTTCAAATTAAATATTGAAATTTGAAAAAAGCAAACGAAAATTTGAGTATTCTTTGTATTGATTTTAAATGTTTTTATTATTTAATATTATATCGAAAAGAGATATTAATTGTTGAAGGTCTTTCGAATGGTGGTCAATCTCCGCCTGTTTTTTTGCTTACGTAGAGGCAGTCTATTCGTAGGAGAAAAAACAGGCCGGTATTGACCAATGCGCAATGGTACGTGCACCCTCACCAAAACAACGCGTAGAGAGAGGTATTACGCATTGGTCAATTTCGGCCTGTTTTTTCTCCTACGAATAGGCAGTGCCTCTCCATCACAGGACCCAAAAACAAGCGACTGAAGACTAGGTTAAATATGGTATAGTTCCCATTCTTAGTTTAATCGTCGCAATCTCCGACGAGCATTAAGGGTGCGTTCGGATCGACTTATTTTGACTTATTTGAGGTTATTTACTAAATAATTTAGATCTAATAATTGAAATAATAGATTTACCGAACGCTTGAGGTTGTGAAATAAATTATTAGGGAATTATTTGATAAATAAACACATTTACCGAACACTTGAAGCTATTAAATAATTCCTAATAATTTATTTGATAAATATTTTTAAAATAACAAATGCTTTCAAGATCCTCATATATTAGCTATAAAGTAGCTTTTTGAAGCTTTATAAATAAAGTTTCAACAAATCTTCATTATTATCTATCCCTATTATTTTTCAATATTATTCAAATATATTTTAACCATCAAAATTATCGTAGGTCATGAGCTAGTATATGAGTATTTAATATAAATAGAATATAAGAGGGAATAGACTAATATTAGTCTATTATGAGAAGCTGACTCGTATTAACAATTAAATAGCTATGGAACACGTGATTCCATGAAACAGTATATGATATTTGTTACGATTACATACTAGAGCATATCATAGAGATCAAATAACTAGAATAAGAAAGCTAAAGAGGAAAGAGAATCTTAAGGGATCTCTTTATCTCTTATATACGTCTAGTTCAAGCTAGTCTTGAACTAGGCTGTGATGAGTCATCACGTGTGTCACGTGATATTCGTCACAATACTCTTATTTTCTTATTCTATATTCGAGGGGGAAAGGTCTTATTTTATGCTTTTTTCTACTAATCTAGCTTTCCATTTTCGTTTATCTCTTGTAGATCTCTTCCTAATCCGGACATTCCTTCAAATAAAGCTTTTCTTTCTTATTTCTTATTCGATTTCACTAGTACTATGTCGATCTTACTACGAATGAATTAAAAGAACTAATAAAGAATTAATAAAGAATCGATTTTTAGGTCGTTTTGAGCTAAGAGCTCTTTTGAGTGATGATCATGTGATTTGATCATGTGATCCTGTGATTCGCTACTTGTATACTATATGAATATAGAACTATATTATATATATATATATTCAAAAAGATATATTATTATATTATTTTTTAAATAAAAACAATAATATTAACTATATGTTACGGCGCCAAGTACTCTACCACTAAGCCATGTAATCCTAAAAGGGTATAAGTAGTTTGATTAATATCAAATTTATTAAATAGAATTATAACCAATCCATAACACTACTTTCTTTTTCAATCCTGGAATGGGTATAACAGAATCTCGTTTTCTATTCTGGAATAGGATTGCTAAGGATTCTAGTAGTAGAAATTGATTATATACCTAAAAGTAAACGGAACCGCTTTTTTCTAACTAATCGGATTTCATTACGAAAAGCCTTCGGGTAGGATCAAACTAATTATCACAACGTCAAATATTCTACCACTAAGCTATATAACCCCAAAAGAATATAAGTAGTTTGATCAATATCAAATCTACTAAGTAGAGTTATAATCAATCCGTGACACTATAATCAATCGAAGAACGAAGATATCACTCTGATAATTTTTAAGTTCTAGATGTTCTTGCTCTTATAAGATAGAAGATATAATTTTAGTATTTTAAAAAGAATATTATAAAAAAAATTTTACCGGGTCGAATTCATTAATTAGAGTCTGAAACTATTATAATTGAGTGGACTTTATATTCAACATTTACTAGTACTATAACGTGATTTATTAGTGTACAGATCATATCAGTATGCAGATCACTTTCACCTCAATTCACTCTCTTCTCTTTCAATACACGTTTTTATCAATAATCCATAATGAATTCGAATAATCAAAAAGCCCATATATTCCTCACTATCGAAGCTATTCAAAAAAACAAAAAAACAAGTATTTGAAAAATTACAAAGATATATAATATTTCGAATACAATATTACAACATAAAATTAATAATATTACTTCCTGTTCCGAATATTGATCAAAATCTTATAATCTTTCAGAATTAAAAGAGAATATCATTTTTGAATATACAATCGATATAAATATAAAAGGATTTTCATCTAAATTAAGAAATATAGAAAATATAACAAATTATATTCTTAAATCAAGAAATACAAAACACATTGGAAAGCTCTAAACGCATCGATTTGTAAAGCATCGAATCAAATTAAAGATACATTTTAGTTATATTTATAACTTTCAAAAAGCTTTCTACAAAGATTCTAAACTTATTAAAAAGTGATTTCGATTAGTTTCGAATATACAAACGAAATACAATATTCTTGATTACGATTTTTATAATTTTAATAAAACGGACTTTATAATAGATATAATATACCCCGAAATAATAATAATTGATACTGAACAAAATAATAGAAGCAAGATAATACAATTAGATAATAGAGAATAGACTATAGCGGTTATATATAGTAATAGGGAAAATAAAACTATACCCCTATTTCTAGTAATTCAAAAACAGATTTATTTTTTTAATTGATATACTTAAACCGATTTTCCTACGGATTGGACTATTAAATCTATATCTAATAAATAAATAAATAATAAAATACTTTAATAAGTATATTAAGAATTAAAGAAAGAGCAAATATCGAATATTAATATTAGATAAGCATAAAAGCCACAAATCAAAAGCTTTTCAAGTATATTATAAAGAGAATAATATTATATATTGTCACGATAGAATATGTCTATATAAACCCAATTAGCTTAATGCTCTTGGTGATATCTGTTGGTTCGAGAGAGATACGGAAGACGTGGTTCCCACTATTAGTAGGCCCCTAAATGTCTATTTGTATTTAATCTAAAGAGCTAGTTAATGAGAGGAAATAGTAGACCTTATATAGGTACTACTAAAAGAGCTAGTCTCCTTGGCATTCGTCTAAATACCTTTGATACAGTAGTTATTGTATTGAAATCATTCTTTTGAAATGAATTCCCTTATTCACACATTTGAAACTCTCTTTTATAACTTCAAATACAATAACTAAAAAGAAATTCGTAAAATCATAAAAATCCTCTATCTGCTAACTAAAGTCCCTAACCTTTTACCAGTAGAACCAATCCCTTCCTTTAATCTTAATTTTATTGATAAATTGCAACTTAAAAATATATATATTAAAAGAAATATCCGAAAGTGATACAACCTCAAATACACTCTTAATTATCAATCCATCAATTTCTTTTTTTCTAAATTTCTTATACATAATAAGATTCTTAAAATCAGCAACAAAATATTCGGGATAGTAATTTTATATATAAGCTCGAATTTGAGGTATAACTACTTACGGGAAAGATATTGATATAGGCATCTAATCATTCTTGAATAAATCCAAAAAAGGTTCCTTTGGATTTGTTATATATATAATCGCTGTTTCTAAAGGAAGTGATATAACTTTGCCGGAATTTGGCAAAGTTATCTCAGAATCAATATTATAATTCCTATCCCTACCACCTCTACCATTGCCTTTATTACTATTACTATCACTTCTATCATTATTACCATCTTGACCACTGTCCCAATTATTATCATTATCCGAATCATCATTATTACCAGATAAT